TGAAGATGTTGATGATGATGGTGATGATGAAGATGCTGATGCTGATGCTGATGACGAGGATGAGGAGGAGGAGGAGGAGAAGGAAAAGGAGGAGGAGGAGTGAAAGGAGGAGGGTTGCGAAATTCAGGAGCCCTGCCTCCCCTCAGTAGGAGGAGGAGGAGGAGGAGGAGGAGGATCGCAGTAGTCGTCGTCGTCGTCGTCGTCGTGAGCGTCGTCGTCGTCGTCAGCGTCGTCGTCATCTTCGTCTTCGTCGTCTTCGTCTTCGTCGTCTTCGTCTTCGTCGTCGTTGTCGTTTCGGAGGCTTCTGTGCGTTTCTTCAGGTTCGACTTGGTAAAGTTGCCGGAATGGACCCTAGGGGTCGATTCTGATTGGATTTGGGAGGAGGAGGAGGAGGACTTACGGACGTACGGATCTTTTGACTGTGTTGGTTATGAGAAAGTCTCGCCCGCTCAGAGGACTTCGGAGAGATTGCGAAGCAACACGTACATGGAGCACTCCACCCCCTTCACCACGATGAGGGACGCGACAGCCAGGAAGCCCTGCACCAGGACAGAGTCACCGTTCACCACAGTGCGCGCGACGCTCATGTCCCTTCAGCTGACGATATCCAGGGGCGAGATGAGAAACTCGAAAACAACATGAAATTCATCTACAGACGCAAACAGCGAATTCATAATCCCATTAGCAATAATAAACCATTCTATGTGCCTTGCTTGCCCTGTGGGCCTGGGCCAGGCTCAGCTGAAACCTAGCCAGGCACCATTCGATGCAGTGGAGAAGAGCCAACCCAATTCTTGCAGTGGCCCGAACAAAATGCCTGAGCGAAAAAAGTCCAACCACCAAACCACATAGCTACTGGTTCTTGCAGTCGTCATGTGGCGTTGATGGGAAGAATGCAGCAGACGTAGAAGGCTGCCCTTGCTGCTCTGTAGCCCTGCTCAACTCGGCCAAGACATCTAACGGGAAAGCGAAAGCCCCACCTTGCCGACGGTCAGCCACGGCAGCAGCGGGACCGCTCCGTAAAATCGCTCCATCTGCAGCCAGCGCCGCGCGCCGCCTGGCCCATGCGCCGCCGTCGGGCGACGACACGCCAGGCCGGGGCTGTGGGGGATCCTGCGAACCCACTCCTTCTGGCTCTTCGCACCCTCCTTCAGCACGTGGTGCGCCAGGCTGTTCGGCCGCAAGTGCCACAACCTTCGGAGAACTGTGTCCAGCGCCAGGGGCTCCTCCAGGGGCTGCCAACTTCACCTCGCCGTTCGCCTGCACTGCCTCGCCATCCCTCCCCAGGGTAGCCTTCTCCCGCGGGAGCCCTGCTGAGGCTGCGGGCAGCTGCGATGTCGATGCTGCTGCGGGCGACGCGTCAGCCTGCTCGCCCTCAGGTGCCAGGCCTGGAGGAGGCACAGGACGGGCTCCATCGGCTGCACCAGCCGGTGCTTTCAACATTTCACTTCCTCCTCTGGCCTGGGTCAGGGGCCGTTGCCCGCGGGCCGTGGGGGTGTACAGAGTGGACAGCGCCCTCCCACGCCTGCCCCTGGTGGCCACCCATCCTGAAGAGGAATGTGTGCCGGGGTCGCGGTTACAGCAGGGAGGAGGAGGAGGAGGAGGAGGAGGAGGAGGAGGGAGGAGGAGGAGGAGGAGGAGAGGAGGCGGAGGAGAGGAGGAGGAGGAGGAGGAGGAGGAGGAGGAGGAAGAGGAGGAGGAGGAGGAGGAGAGGAGGAGTGAGGAGGAAGGAGGAGGAGGAGGAGGAGGAGGAGGGAGGGGTGTCTAGGCGGCCCGGACGCGCACTGCTCATTCCACAGTAAGCCCAAATTGCGCTCTGCCCTTCCTCCCCAATGTTGCATCAGGTCTATGCGCAGCTACGTCGCACTTCCTAGATGGAGGCCAGTTGCACACAATCAAGGGGCATACGCTGGTGCATGAGTTCATAGCGCACGTGCGATCTTCTTCTCACAGGAATGATGCCGGCGTGGTGCGTGCTCGCTGCATATATCCTTTACCGTTCAGGCCCAACACTCTTCTGCTTATCGAGCATACTTAGTATATGTCGGAATGGACGGTGATGACTCTGACGAGCCAGCCTGTCAACATTCCAGGAGTCACCAGAGGAGCCACACGAAAAAGTATGCGTGCCGAGGCTCCGCGGATTCTTGGGGGTCTCTCAGGTGCCTCTTTGGGGCCTCTTGGGTCATCTTGGGCTGGTTATGGGGTGCTCTTAAGCCGTATTGGACGCTCGTGCGACCGATGCGGCGATAATGTTCTCATCGCACCAGATTTTGGCCTCCTGGGCCGGCCTCCGGGACATGCAAGAAGGCCCGCGAGACTTCCAGGTCTGTTGAGGTTGGCCCCGAGAGGGCTCGGGCGAGCCCGGGTCCGAGCATTTTCTCTGGGTGGAGGGCAAAGGGTGAAATCTGACATGCCGTTTCGATTGGTTTTCGAGGTTTGAGTCCGCCAAAGGTGCATCGCAAGACGGATTGGTTCTCGAAGTGCCAAAGCCCACATGGATTTCACCCTGAGCCCCCCACCCTGGGTACTTGCTCAGTGGGTGGCCCAAAGATAACAGCTGAGCGGGTCCCCACCTTGCCCGAGTCACTCGAGGGAGGGCGGGGCGGCGAGGAGGCGCGCCCCCCTCCTCGCGGGGACCCCCCGCCGAGGAGGGGATCGCAGGGAGGCGGCACGGGTCACTGACAATGACCGCTGGGACCCCGCGAGGATAGGGGAACCAAAAGTGGCATGAACATAAAATCTCGGAGGTCCGCACGGATTCCTCGGATCGGCGCTGGGGTCCCCCGGCGGCGCCTCCGGCGCCGCCCCTGGCGCCCTCCGCGCGCCAGGGAGGGGGGGTCCAGCGCCGGTCCGAGAAATCCGCGCGGGCCTCCCAGTTTTTATGTTTATGTGATTGTCCGTTCCCCTAGAGGGGCCAGGAGTCACTCTTAGGCACCCCTGCCGCACCAGAGGCGTCCCACGAGGTGTGGGGTATGGTCTTTCCTTTCCGGCGGCTGGGCACGCAGCTCCACTGCAGTCTCTCGGCCTCGAGGCTGGACTGCGTCCGGACTGCCAGCCGACAAGGCCCCGCGCCACCTCCGACAGACAGCGACGACGGCGCTGACAAAGACGACGCCGACCGCAGCGACCGCGACGACGGCGCCGCCGACGACGCGGCGGCGACGACGACGACGAAATCGACGACGACCACGGCTGCGGCGGCGACGACGGCGACGGCGACGGCGACGACGACGACAACAACAATGACGACGACGACACCGGCAACGTCGGCGACGACGCGCCAGCTATGGCGGGGGGACCGCCGCCGGCAGCGACGACAGGGACGCCATAGGTGGAGATTCCTGTGGGCCACGATCTGTGCGAGAGGTGTACTGAAGCAGGCGGGGAGGGGGGTGGCCTGCGAATCTTGCCTTTGGGACCGTCCGTGGAACTTTGTGCGGGCCACGATCCGTGTGAGAGATGTGCCGAAGTACTCCTGGCCACGCTATGAAGCTTCTCTCTGGTGCCGCAGATGCAGTTACTTGCTTGGCACGATCCGCGTGATGGGCGTGCCACTGTGCGAACCTTGTTTCTGGGGACGTAGGTAGAGATCCCTGTGTGGCGCGATCCCTTGGAGGGGTGTGCTGGCGTGGGCGGGGTGACGCTAAACCAATCATGTATCAGGGGCCGTCGGTGGAGCTCCCTGAGGGGCACGATCGTGTGACACTATATGTCCTCCGACGCCGAACACTTTAGACTACAACCAGAACTTGCTAGAATCTAGGCGCGCGCGAAGCGCTCGCGTGGTTCTAGTATTTATGTACATATATGTAGAAAGATAGAGGGAAAGGGAGAGAGAGAGAGAGAGAGAGAGTGAGAAAGAGAGGGGGACAGAGAGAGGGAGGGAGAGAGAGAGAGAGAGAGAGAGAGAAAGAGAGAAAGAGAGAGACGACGACGACGATGACGACGACGACGACGACGAAAACGACGACGACGACGGCTGCGGCGGCAACGACCACGACGACGACGACGGCGACGGCGACGGCGACGGCGACGGCGACGGCGACGGCGACGGCGACGACGACGACAACGACGACAACGACGACGACGACACCAGCAACGACGGTGACGACGCGCCAGCTACGGCGGGGGACGACGCCGCCAGCAGCGACGACAGCGACGTCAACTGCAGGTGGACTCGGCCCAGCCCGGCCCAGCCCGACCCGACCCAGTCACATGTGGGCCAGAAGGCAGGGAGGAGGGAGGGAGAGGAGAGGGTGGTGGGGAAGGAGGGAGGGAGAGGGAGGGAGGGAGGGAGGGAGAGGGTGGGGGGAGGGAGGGAGGACTGCCGGATCTGGTCAGGAACCACGAATTACCGGGCGCTTTCCGTTACTCGCAAAGTGCATCATCATCACCATCATCACCATCATCATCATCATCATCGTCATCATCATCATCATTCTTAGCATCATCATCATCATCATCATCATCATCATTGCCATCATCATTGTCATCATCATCATCATCATCATCATCATCATCATCATGATCTTCATCATCATCATCATCATCATCATCATGATCATCATCATCATCATCAGCATCATCATCATTATCATTATCATTATCATTCTCATTCTCATTACCATCATCAGGACTATCAGCATCAGCATCATCAGCATCATCATCACCATCATAAACATAAAAACTTTAATAATAAAAATAATATTAATCATCAGAGCACTAATAATAACCAGCATTCCGACATCCAGCCTACAGATTCCGACCTTCCACGCCCCCCTCCACCTCTTGACCTCCGATTTCCACCGGCACGGCACTCCATCTTCCAGCCCCCAGCATCCGACTCCCCCCTTCCACCTCCACTCACCGACCCCCAGCCTCCACCTGCTCAGAATTCCGTCCTCCAAGCTCCTATCCCCGCCCACTTCACCGCGTCCACACACGCCAGACCCTACATTGGCGACTACAGAGGCTGCTCATGGAATTCCCAAGCTCTCATGGCAATCACGGCCTCCCGCCAGACAGCCAAGGGCAACCAGATGTCCAAGCTTATGGCCTCGCATGACTTTGGCGTCTTCGTGGAGGCGCACTGCACCAAAGGTAAGGAGGACGCATTTGGTTCTTCCATCTGACTGCGTCGGCCATTGGTCCCACTTTTCGGCGAGGCGCGCAGGAGTTGGCATCGTTCTGCGGCGCAGTTTTCTGGAGAAGTTCGCCACGTTCCAGGATGGGGACTTCCAGGAGCTGGAACCGGGCAGGATCGCCAGGCTGCATCTACGTGGGCCAGCGGGCAACTTAGATATTTTGGCGGTCTATCTCACCACAGGCGAGGGCTTATCGAACGACAGACAAGCACGCGACCGGTCCCACGAGATAATCAAAGAGAATATGGCCACGCCGCGCACCACGCTGTCGATCTTGGCCGGCGATTGGAACTATGTACCGTACGATCAAGACCGCTGGTGTTGCAGCACTCGGAATTGGAGCGGGCGCAGGGACGCGGCAGAAGCCGCGAAAGCGAAGGAGGACGTCTTCCACCCCAATGGCCTGCACGAGTTGTACCAGGAGGACCACACGTATTTTTCGAGCACCGCCACTTCGCGCATCGACCGGGTGTACACGAATCACCACCCATCGGAACAGCTCGACCATAAGATTGGATGCAGTCCTTTGCCCAGAGTCCCCGGCCTCTCCTCGCACGCGCCCCTCTCTTTTTTCCGGATCCGTCCGGCATGCGACTCCACTCTCAGCGCGGCCGCCGACTCTGCCCACGAAGCGCACGACGAGCTGAACCACGACGGCCGAGACGGCTGCAGGGATACGCGAGCACAGGCAGCCATTACAATGGGCACCACCAACCATCCCGACTGGGGGCGACGTGTTGCTGCGGAACTTGCTTGTATCTCCACCGAGCCCCGCGACTCCGACAACCCCGTTCGCAAACTCGTGCTGGTTAAGCGGGCAATGCACACTGTCTCGGGGAACATGGCCAAGGAAGGGTTATACGTAACTGCCACCACGACTGACGACAAGCTCAGTTGTACCCTCAGCTGCGCTCGGGCAGCGCAGGCGATTCAGCTGGACAAGATGACAAGATGTACCGCAAATATCTGGAGTACCCTCACATCGGCACGTTCGTGAACCCCAATAACCCAAACGCATGCTTCACCGACGGTTTCCGAGCACTGCTGGAACACGCCGTTTCCTTGGCGCGACACGGCATTACAGAAGAACTTGGCGACATACGGAAGCAGCGGGACGAGGGCAACCACGACTACAAGATCACAGTCCGCAAGACCAACATCCTCAGCCGACTGAAACGCATCATGCCCGGATCTTGCACCACCGTGGGTGCCCTCGAGACAGCTTCTGGCGAGTACGCCACAGACCCAGCAGCTATTGGCAAGGAGCTCAGTTCCCATTTGGCGAAAACCTTCCGGAAGCAGCCCATCAACCACCACCTGCTCCAGGAATGGCTCCGGAGTCCTTACCTGCTTTTTCACGGACTCCGACCCAGCCGGCGGCCGCCGCCAGGCGAGCGACACGCCGACTCGACGGACAGCAAGACACGGGCGGGCCTCACCGACGAGCACAACCAGAACGCACTCCCCTTCCCACCCACGAGAGGCACTGGCGCATTCGCAGAAAGGACATTGAGGCCGCCATCCGCCACAGCGGGAATTCGGCACCTGGCCCAGATGGGGTGCCTTTTCAAGCATGGCGCGCTCGGGGCCCGCTCGGGGTATCCATCCTGTAGGACGTTGCGCAATGTTTTGGTCACTCACAGGGGCAGGAGGAGCTTCCGGGCGCCTTCTTTGACGAAGCCCTGGACCAACCCCACTACAATGAGAGCATCCTGGTATGCCTACCGAAGAAAAGTTCGAGCACCACGCCAGACGGCATCAAGGCATACGTCCCGGCCAACACGCGGCCGCTGAACATCGTCAACGCCGACAACCGCATCGTCGCCAGCGCCGCCCGCAACCGCTGGGAAGAACACCTGGCCAAATGGATTCTTCCCAGACAACAGGGCTTTCTTCCTGGGCGCTCCATACTGGCGAACCTTTTATGGACACGTCCAGCATCATCACTTCACTCCAGGAGGAGCACGGGGCATGCTTACTCATGGACTTCGCATCTGCGTTTCCTTCTATATCCCAGGAATTCATGTTCACGGTGCTCTCGTCAATTGGAATCCCAGATCGGGCCATGAATTCCATCCGCGCGCTGTGCTCAGACTCGTACTGCGTTGTCAGACAAGGCAGATTTGTGGCAACCGGGTTTCGACTTGAAGCAGGCGTCCGGCAGGGGTGCCCGCTCTCCCCGCTGCTGTGTGCCACAGTTGCCGAGATTCTCATGGACCGCATCGAGCAGGACTGCCCCGACGTCCTTGTCCGAGCCTACGCAGGTGACACGGCCCTCGTGCTCAAGGACTATTGGAAAGACGTCCCAAAGTTGCAGCGCATCTTCGACGAGTTCGGGCAAATCTCCGGCCTCCGTCTGAATCTGCAGAAGTGCGTGACCATCCCTCTCGGGCAGGGCAGTCTGGAGCAGTTTCAACATCGTCGCGACCAGTATCTTCCTGAATGGGCCAGCATGCCCGTGCCAGACTGCGGCAAATACTTGGGGTTTATGGTTGGGCCGGGGAAGGGTGAGCAGTCATGGCGAGAACCGAACGCCAAGTTCATCAAGCGGTGCCGCGACTGGTCCGAGCACGGCATCGGAATGCACTTCCACACGTTTGCGTACAACACGTTCGCCATGTCCACGCTTGGATACACCGGCCAGATGGAATCGGTCCCGCAAGAGACACTACGTCTGGAGGAAGCCGCGCTCAGAATGACGCACAAAGGACCAGGGCAATGGGCATTGCCAGATGACTTGTAGCGCCTGAAGGAACATTTCGGCCAGTCGGCCTCGCGCAGCAGCGTCCACCTGACCGCCAAAGCTTCGCAACTTCGAGCCCGCGTGTGGGATCCGGCGTGTGCGGCGGACCACTGCCAGGGCGAGGTGCGGGACCTTCGGCAGGCTCTTGCGCATCCGAAATATTTACACAACCGGATGCGGTGGGACGATTGGTATTCCCAGGCTTTCGCAATTACCCTCGAAGACAAGTTGCAGTGGTTCACGCACCATGTTTGCCCAATCGACGACATCTGCAATCCACCGAACGAGCCAAAAGACGATCACATCCACGACGGCGAGGACAGCACCGACGAAGCGCTGGACAACGGCAGCGACACCGCAACCAGGACAACGAGTAACTCCGGCACGCGCGCCCCTCCCCGGCATTCCCAAGCTAATTTTCAACGACGGGCGTGCCAAAAACTACTCGCCCACCACGCCCCGCACCCCAGCTACCGCATTCGCCACAAGTTTCTACGCTGGGGCCTCCGGAACGCAGCAACGCACCCACCGCCCCCAGGGACGAGCTGCCGGTGCAACACTCCTGCCTGGCAAGCCCGCCGGGCATTGGCAAGTCTCCAGTTGCTGCCGAAGCTCGCCCCTCCGCGGGTCTGCGCCGCAGTATCCGGCACGCTGTGGAATCGATGGTGCACGTGCTGGCGGTGCCAACAGAGGCACTCAGCGCGCAACCGCTGCGTCCTGGGTTGTGGAGGGGCCGCGGAGGACTCCATCGAGCACTATTGCAGATGCCCTGTGACGAAGCGTGCCATGGAGCGCAAGCTCAACGTGCCCCCCTCTACCTTCGCCAATCTTCACACATTTCTGCTATGCAATGCGAACATCAAGACATACGACGAGCTTACGTCAGTGGCATTGCTGATCTACGCCATCTACAACGCCACAAACCACTACAGACATAACCCACTCACCCAGGACACCGACATACACGACGCAGTGGCGCAATGGATGCGCGAGGGCGCCAAGCGCCATGCCAACGCGACGAGGACACTCGACAATAGATGGCGCCCGGCACCACGGGACAAGGCCATACCACCGATCCCGGCGCATCTGTGATCGACCCGCCCTGCCCCAATCTACGCCGGTCTCCAGCTCCTACACAAGTCCCGACTCCGGCTCCGACTCCCGCTCAGACGCCGACCAGACTCCGCATTATGTCTTGCCTCAGCCCCAACCCTGACACCTGCGCCAGCCCCCCCACCAACTCCGACTCTTGTCCCGACGCCCCCGAACCCAGCCCCAGGCTCAACGATTATCCCGCCTACAGCTCCGACTTCGGACGCCTGATCCGGACCCGCCCCCGATTCCATATCCCGCGCCCACCCCGATTATAGCCCCGACTCCCCTTCCGACACCTGCTCCAGCTCCGACCCCAGCCCCGACTCCAGCGACCGCTCCGACTCCTGCGCGGCTCGGCGACGCCGCGGCAGAAGTTTCGGCGACGCCGCGGCGACTCTCGCCCCAGCTCGGCGACGCTGCAGCAGAGGTTTACCGTGCCCAGTGCTTATGAGGACATTTGTCTTGCGAGCGTGGCCGAAACTCGGGGGGCAGATCCAGCCCCCCCACCACGCGAGGCACGTCAAATTGTCACGGAGACGGTGCGCTTGAGGGTGGAGGCCGAGTACGAGGAGATGGAGGAAAAAGGAGGACGACTGGTGATGCAGTGCAAGCGGCGCCGAGCTTACGGCTCGCATGCGGCGGACATCACGCACACATGCCGAGTGCACGATCGCCGCGCCAGCCGCGACCAGTTCGACGCCGGCGCCGATTCCCAGTCCGACGCCGGCGCCGCCACCATGTTCGTCGCTTGCGCCGACTCCCAGTCCGACGCCCGCGCCGACATCCAGCCCGACGTACGCAGACGCCCGAACCGACGCTTGTCCCGACTCCCAGTCGACGCCGGCAGCATACCCAGCCCGACGCCTGCGACGGCTGCACCAGCGCCAGCGCCTACACCAGCCCCGACGCCAGCACCGACGCCAGCTTCGACGCCAGCACCGCCGTCGGCGCCTACGGCAGCACAGACGCCAGCACCGACGCCAGCACCGACGCTGGTGCCTGGGCCCTCACCGACGCCTACGCCTACACCAGAACCGACGCCAGCACCGACGCCAGCACCATCGCCGACGCCTAACCCGACACCAATGCCAGCGCCTACACCTGCATTCGGCCCGCGGTCGAATAAACCCTGCTCCCAGCGTTTTATCCCACCCCATGGGACAACGAGTCCGTCACTCACCACATCTATCCCCAGCTCCGACTCCCCAGCTCCGACGTCCAGCTCCGACGCCAGCACTACCGCGGGCCCATTCGCCAGCGCAGACGCCAGCACAGATACCAGCACCCACACTGGTGCCTATGCCTGCGCCGTCGCCGACGCCTACACCAGCGCCGACGCCAGCGCCGACGCCAGCACCAACGCCGATGCCTAAGCCGACACCAATGCCAGCGCCTACACCTGCATTCGGCCCGCGGTCGAATAAACCCTGCTCCCAGCGTCTTATCCCACCCCGTGGGATAACGAGTGCGCCACCCACCACATTTATCCCCAGCTCCGACTCCCCAGCTCCGACGTCCAGCTTCGACGCCAGCACCGCCGCGGGCGCCTACGCCAGCGCAGACGACAGCACAGACACCGGCTCCCACGCTTGAGCCCATGCCTTCCCCGACGCCAACGCCTACACCAGCGC